TTAATTAATTAATTAAATAGATAGATAGATAGATAGATAGATCGATCGATCGATCGATCGATCGACAGACAGACAGACAGACTTAGGGGCACCCTTGGAAAGAGATACCATTCTCATGGCAGACTATACTGTATGTTTTACATGCAGCACGTCCAGGCTCTGAATGATGTATAAACTGTTCTGGTACAAGACCTTTTTCTATATTTTAGCCATTATTTTAAAAAGATCTCTGTTATCTTAAATATTACTGAACTGAAGATTGATTGCAAAATTATTCTAGTAATGAGAAGACCGATAACTCCATACTAATTTTAAAATTAAAGTTATCCTAAAATTTAGTATGTTAATGATCTCAAGGATAGCTATAAGGGATTTATGGGGTATTTCTGTTATTGCTTCAAGTTATTCCCTTTAAAAAAAAAGAGAGAAATTTGACAGTGATCAGACCAGTGTTGGCCAGTGTGAGTTACAGAGAGTTGTACACAATCTCTTCCAGCTATGAAGCCAACTGGACCAGCAGTTAAGACTAACCACACTGTATATCCACTTAGATTCTTGATCCAGCATCAACTTAGACAGGAAGGGTGGGGTGGTGGAGGAGGAAGAAGTTACCATCATCCATAAGGATTCCATCTCTGTCACAAGGAAATCTACCTGCTCTGGCAACTGCACCTTGCACTGGCCTAGAGATAGAGATTGGGATACTGCTTGAGCTGGTGATACAAGAAGTGTTTTTATATAAACCCAAGATTGTTGTTCTAGGGGACTTCAACATGATCTCTGAGACTCTTCTTTCAGGTCCTGTTCGGGGTTTCATGGCCACTGTGGAAACCATGGACCTGTCACAACACATGTGGCTAGACCATACCCTAGATCTGGTTTTTGCCACTAGGTTTTTTTGAAAAAATAACTCCATTAATAACTCAGATAATTTCCTTTTTAAGCTTGGTTTGATGGCAGCAGACTCCCTTTTCAGGGATGGGGCCCCTTAAAATGAAGACTTATGCAATCCAAAGCGATTCCTAAATATTCTAGAAGAATTTCTAGCTGGCATGGCTTTGATCTCACTGTGAAACAATGACATGGAAATGGCTTAAATTGATTGTTCCTGGTGGATTCACTAAATTTCTAATCAGCTTTGTTAAATTCACGCCATGTTAACTAGGAAGCCTTCTCTCCCCTAGTTAAAGAGGAACTCTTTGATTTTCAAAAAAAAAGTAGGAAGGAAGAAGGGGGGGGGAGAGAGATTGCCTATTACTTTCCTCTGTTTTATGAGAAGGGCCATACGTTCCAAACTGCTAGCTGAAGAAGAGTTTAAAGCCAACATGCATGCTGCAGCTGCTTCCATCCATAAAGCTTGTCTGGTCTCTACACCATCAGCCATGTGAATCTGGGACATTAAAAACAGCACATAAGTTTTGAACTGCCCACAAGAATTTGATGCACAGCCTTGAAGAAGATGATTCATCATCAAAAGCTTGCTGTTTTGTTTTGTTTTGGTTTTTTTATATATATAATAAACTATTTATTTGTTTATTTATTTATTTAATGGTTGATTAAAGGTATCACCTTTAATGTTTCCACAACCATGCAGCCTCCTCATGTTGCCCAGCTGAGTTGCTCCAAGTGGTGAAGAGCTTTCTGGAATCTGGCTCACAGAGGCTGTGAGGGGAACCCTCAATCACCTTCTAGTTTATAGTCACTTCAGTCAAAGAGTGGTAAATACTTAATTACAACTGGGGCAGCTTCAACTCATCTACCTAGCTACACCCATTCCTGGACAGAAACAACCTCCTCACAGTAATCCATGCCCTGGTAACCTCCTGGTTGAACTACTGCAGTGCAGTGCATGTGAGGTACTCTTGAAGGTGACGTGGATGCTGCAGCAAATGCTAACAGGGAAATTTTTAGAGTTCTCATGACTCCAGTTCTGAAGGATTTGCTCTGGCTGCCAGTACGTCTTCACTCTGCATTCAAGGTGTTGTCAATGGTCTACAAAACCTCAAATGGCTTGGGACATGAATATTTGAAAGAGTGACTCTCCATATGTAAACCTGCTCAATCAATCAATCAATCAATCAATCAATCAATCAATCAATCAATCAATCAATCAATCAATCAATCAATCAATCAATCAGTCCTCTCTACAACATTAAGGCTGCAATTCTACACACATTTATCTATAAGTAAGGCCCAAAGGCTGGAAGTCTATACATAACTTTGTAGAAATAATGGCAGTGAATTTCTAGGTTTAATCTGAGTGAACATGCAGAGGATTACAATCTAAATCACCATTCTATTTTTCCAAAAGGAAAAAGCTTTCAATTTATCTAGTGATGGAATGGCTGCTGTCTGTGATACCAGTCTGATATTGTGCCTGATATTTCACCATTAATCTGTGAAATAGGAACAGTTAAATGAAATCTCTGTAAAACAGAAAACAAACTTTAACATGTGGGGAAAGGAGTCAATTTGTTTCCTAGCCATGCAGTTTGATTATGAGAGATGTTACTATATCTAAAACAACAGATACTATCAACAAAGAATCCACATATAGTGGTATAGCTCTAAATTTAAAAATTCAGGCACTTGTAACAATCATCCCCATAGGCATGCTCCCGAAGAGATCCAAAATGCAACAGTGATGTTTACCCAATTAAAAAAGGTGGGGAGTGGGATTAGTTTTCTTCTCCACTAGGGGAGGGGTTTTTTTTTGGGGGGGGTAAAGCTTCTGGGTCTTGATTTCCATTGGCAATCAAATCAGCACCATACAGTTTACACTACAGCAATACAATGTTACTGGGAAAATCCATTGACCCCATCTGCTGTGAAGATTATAGCTAAACTCAGAGGGAACAGATTACATCATCATCCCTGCTGATGATGTAATATTTGATCCCACCCCCCTGTGAACCACAGACTTTTCTGTGGTATACCAGATCTTCCAGTTAAGTCCCTGGCATATTTATTTTAAAGGATATTATGCACCAGTGGTAAGAAAAACTACTGTCTGAGATTGGCGGCTAGGATAACTAGAGATTCAGCATATGCCACTGTGCTGTCAGTAATAATATCACTGCCCTCATTGGCCCATTGATAAGTTATTCTGTGTACAGTTTTAGAAGAAGTGGGCCTGTCCTAAATTGTCCAAGGCATTTTTCCTGAGCAGTTTAGGAGAGCTTGTAAATTTGGGGAAAGGCTGTCAAAAGGGGTATTTTATTTTTTTGTTCTGTTTTATTCCAGAAACACTGTTTCCCCAACACTAATTTTGCAAAGCTGTCTTCTTCCGTGCCTTACTCCCATTGAGGGACATAAATCCACATTTGTCCTTGCAGGCAAGAGCAAGTAGTTGTGAAATTCTCCTCCTTGGTTGCAAGTCTGGCACGGAACCTTTGGAGTCCTTACACGGACAGCAATGATACTTTGCGCAAAAAAAAAAAATGTTTCTGTGGTTGAAAATTTCCACACTGTATTTTTTTTACCTCATCATTGCCCTTTTGTGGGTGAATTCTGGAAATTGCTGAACATTAGGACAATTTTTGTGAAACGCTGCAAATTGGGATGATTGTTTTACGTGGTGTTGGCATTGTGTGTGTGTGTGTGTGTGTGTGTGTGTGTGTGTGTGTGTGTGTGTGTGTAGAGATGGATGTATATATATTTTGTATATTGGGCACTTTGCTTCTCAGAGGGAAAGAACAAAAACATTTAATACAAATTACAGAGACCTTGACATAGAGAAAAAGACCAGTTTGTCTCATTTGTAGTCAAAGCCTATCATGGAGAGGGGTTGGGAGAGCTCTTTGGTCTGGCCTCACATTCACAGAGAGCCTTAAATTTAAGATATACCACAAACTCTGTTTCAGCATTTCTTGGTATTTTGATATAATGAGAATTTCAAAAATCGGAAGTGGTTAGGGCCAGGTTTCAGCTGTGGACAAGAAATCTCACAAGATGTCTTTGTTAGGGTTTCTTCTTATGTTCAGGCCGCCTGAATTGATGAGATGAGGAATTCAATGAGTATTCTTTCCGTTCCCATTGTCTTCAGCTTTACCCAGTACATTATCTCGATCCTAGAGTACCATTTTCTTTCTCCTTTAGTTTAATTGGTTCCAGCTTTACCCAGCATGGCTTGCAAACCCTGTTTTCAAAGTTTTTGTGGCATGATGAACATGGCTGGATCAGGATGGTGACAAGCCACAATTGAACCCTTGCAGTATGGAGCACCCATCATGTTGCATTATAGGTGTATAAACTGCTACATTGTTATTTGCATGTGTGAATCTTGTGGATGGTGCAAAACTTCCAACTATCATTTTTGTTCTTTTCTCTTTTTTCTAACCTTAATGTGAGTAGATGTTATATATCCAGCATTGCATGCAGGTTTGCAGATATGAAGTGACAGCAAATAAAAATGCACAAACTCTGGCCATCCCTTTAATTCACTTAAATATTACAAACACATTGGTCTGTTTGCTTCAAAATGGGGGACTTTCTTCTATCGAATTCATGAGACACTCCAGACTGTCTAGAGGTGCTTTGAACTGACCTAGAAGGCAGATGGAAAGGTGGCCCACTGTGGTAACATTCTTGCATTTGTACTATTTCAAATCCAAGCACAAGGGCTCTGAAGTCCTTCTCTTAAGATGAACACTTGACTTAGTCCTAAGGGTCTGTTCTCCTTCACTCTGTGAGCTGCTTAGACTTTATGTGGCAGCTGTGTTTATCATGTTCTTGAGTGTTTAGAGGTAAATATCTGCCATTCTTTCTTCTGCAAATAAAATACCCATGTAGCTGCACAGATGTGATTCATTTCATCAATAAATGTGATTTTGTTAAAAAAAATATTTAAAAATAAAACCCCAGTAACCTTCTACCTCTTCCCCCCTCAAAAAGTCAACTTAGGATAGATTTTCCTATTGACTGAAATTTAATATATTTTCCTCTGCAGATTTTTAAACATAAAATACTTTAAAGATTAATATATTATCCTCTGCTTGCAGTCAAAAAAGATCCAAGCCCAACTGAAGGAGCTTCGCTATGGGAAAAAGGATTTGATTTTTAAGGTGAGTTTTGTCACTTGAGCAGGCAAAAGTATTTGCTTACAGGCAGTATAACGCTAAAATTAATCTGACCCAATGGTGCTGTTTGTCTAACACTGACATAAAGAATCACTCCATATACAACAGGGTGTGAACAACTAAGGAGCAAATTTGATTTTGGTGAGACATTGTTCACACTGTTCCTCATTTCACCAGGGTTTTTTTTTCCTTGCAAAAATGTTCTTAAAGGGCAACTTTCCCAAATGAAGGCAGGTAATTTTAAAGCATTGCAATATCTGTTACTGTGTGAGACCATGTATTTCACTTTAAAATTCCTAAACATAGGGCAAAATAACAGTAAATTCAGACATTTGCATCTCTTTGCCAAGTTTTCATAGACAGTCATGGAAAACTAAAATGTTTATAAGTTAAGGTGTAAGTATTTTCTAGAGCCCATCATTATAAAGCATGAAAACTGTGTTATTTATAAAATCCATACAGGGCAACTTGTACTATAACTGTGAAATTATGATTTCCTTCATGTTGTTTACTGAAAGGTATCTGGATTTTTAAATATCAGATGAAAAATATTTGACTTACAAATGCTCAAAGAAGTTATGCTTTTTTAGGTGGTTGTTTTCTGGTCATTTTTTCCCCAGTAAAATGCCTGCATTACTGTTGATTGTCTGAAGGCTGAAATATATTCATTCATTCATTTATTTTGATTTCCCCCCCCTTAAAATCAAGTACAGTATTTGACTGGATGTGCTTTTCATGAATATAGTGAAAATCCATGATGTACTTGTAAAGTTATGGAGTGAAAATGTTCCCATTTTGCTCAGTGGAGGGAATAATGTCTAAGGTTATACGGCATGTGTCATTTATAGCCAGTGAAGCCAGAAAAAGAAGAGCCACATTAATCTGGTAGAACATACCTCCTGTTTCCATTATATATGCAGAAAAAATATTAAAAAATAAAAAACAGTCTCTACCATATCACAGCTAAACTTCCAAATAATCTTGCTAGGGTTTTGGCATCATTTATGGGAATCAGTGGGTGACAGAGTGAATAAGGACTGTGGGGCAGGAGAGGAGAGAGTTGTTACCTGTGTGTCTGAGAGAACAAATTCACATGGAGCAAATTGTGACTATTGCACTATTCCCCTCTGCACAATAACTACATGTATTCTATTTATTTCCACAAACCCTTTCTCCATCTTTCATTGGTGTCTTGATTCATTTCTTTAAGTCAGGATTAAGCAACTGTGATCCTAGGACCATTTATGACCCTTGACTGAATTCTGTGTACCTCTTGGTCTAATTTGAGTAGCCTCTTGAAGTTTCTGAAGTTAGGTCTGGAAGTGAAACTTTTGGCAAGAGAACTCTGTTCTTCCAGCAGTCCACTGGGCATGAAAACAAACTGGAGAGGGAGAGTGGCTAAGAGAAAAAGGGGTAAATCTTTGTTCTGACTCCACCTCCTCCTGTCAGGTTCAACTCTACCTACCTTGGCATGTAGCCCCATCAGATTACACTCAGGTGGATAAAGTCTTAGAAAATTCTTCCCCCACCCCTGCATTGAGTAATGTGTGTTCTCGGTGTGTTTTAGAGTTTGTGCCATGGGGTTCCTTGGAACTTGAGCCTCTGAGGGTCAAATTACGCATTGTGCTGAATGTTTAACATGCGACAGCATTTCTTTTCTCACCTTCACCAGCTAAAAACATGTGGGTGACAGAATGGAAAAGGGAGGCTTAGATCTTCCCTCACATATGCACTCAAAACCAAAAGCATCCTCTCCTGGTGCAATACTGGAGCCAGTGTTAAGTTCTTACTATGCCAAGAGACGGTGATTGGTTTTAGTGGCACTCAGGGCATGGAAGAAGTGCATTTCCCTGTATGCTGACTTCCCAGCCAGAAATGTCTCTCCCACACACATACATACAATATGTCTGCAATTTATGGAAGAAAGACAAGACACATTTCTGCACCTAGTGTAATATGTGAATGATTACTTTGGCCCTCACTCTCATTTTTCCATGACACTGTGCAAGTAAATGTGTTTTCAGATGCTTAATTTCTTGATGATCATAAAATCCCAATGTGCATGCATGGGATTTTGTGTCTACGGTGAGGCATGTTTTTAATTTGTGTGGTCTGCATGCACATTGGATCCATGCTGTGCTTGTGACAAAGGTATAGTCTAGAGTGTGTTATGTTAATGTGGTAAATGGCTGCCTCATGCAAGTAGTGTATGCAAAAGCTATACACATCAGGTTATCAGTGTGTGTCAATTTATAGCTGACCATTCATCTGGGAAAAGACGCAGCTTCATTAATATAGTTATTAATATAGTTATTCCTCACCTTTCAAAAAGATTCTGTCTTAGGTGGCAAAACATAATGGTACGGAAGCCAGAATCTATTGTTGAACAGGCACTTGCCCAGCTATGCAACCAGCATTTTGTTATTGAGTGGCAATTTGCTATGAAATGTACCCAATTTCTCTTCTGTAAGCATAAATTGGCAATTGAATTCTGGCCAGAACTTTAAACAAAATCTATTATTTAAAAAATAATAGCAATATAAAACCCATTTAATTGTTATATACCAGAGGAAATTAGTGTTGAAGGTATGGTTATCACTTAAAAACTGAGTAGAACTCCAGAACGTTTCCAGACTCTTTTGTATTATAGGCCTTTGCACATTCGGAAAAATGAATTTGTAGAGTTGTGTGGGGCTCCCCATAATAGTTTGTGATGTGGCACACAGATTTCTATTCAAGGAGGAATCAGTGAAATTGGTGATATCCCTGAACATATTGCTTGTGCCAGAAGGTGTGGGATACAACCTCTTGTCCTTGATGTGTAAATTATACTTGGGATACTTCAGGAAACATAGAATTAAGATCTTATAGTGGGCTTCATGATATAAAGTCAATTATTGTGATGAAGTAGTGTTGGGAACAAGAGGAAGGACTCTGAACCATAATTGAAAAAAAAAAAATCAGTGTAGGAACTGAAAGCTTGTGTTCCAAACCTGCATATGAAAGGCAATGTTTGGCATGGCACTAAGTACAGTATACAGAGGTTTTCAAACTTTCTGACTTTAAGAAACCCCATATCAGATGATCTCCCAGAAAAGGCTTAAATATTACCA